TATATGGTAAATATGTATATTCTAAATGAATGCCTTTCCTTATTACAGTCGATCCTTTCCCATGGTACCGTGGCAGACTGTGCTGTTGTTGGCAAGGAAGATCCCTTAAAAGGTCATGTTCCCTTAGCACTCTGTGTATTGAGAAAAGGTGAGAGATCTTTGTTCTCTCTGATTGCTTGGGACCTGAATAATTAACTAAGGTTAATTCAGTGCTTACCATCTGAACTTTCTCTCTAGATATAAATGCAACAGAGGAACAAGTTTTAGAAGAAATTGTGAAACATGTGAGACAGAACATTGGCCCTGTGGCTGCTTTTCGAAATGCAGTGTTTGTCAAACAGCTACCCAAAACCAGATCTGGCAAGATCCCCCGATCAGCTTTATCTGCCATTGTCAATGGCAAGCCCTACAAGGTAAATTATCAAAGATATTTAATCCTGGGTTCTACAATATTTTTCTTCATTTATTTGGCATCAGCAAAGCTCTTAAAAATGGTTCTCAAATATGAATTGCATCCCTAGAAAACACATAATAGTACTATTTTTTAATGGTAAGGGAGAGATTATATAGCCATTCCTTCTGTAGGAATGAGAGTTTTGGAAAGAAACTTGATGAAGAACACATGCTTTGATGATAAGAACCAATGTGTGAAATTTTTTTTTATTTATTTTCATTTAGAGATAGAGTCTTGCTTTATTGCGCAGGCTGTAGGGCAGTAGCACACTCATAGCTCACTACACCCTCAAAGTTCTGGTCTAAAGAGATTCTCTCACATCAGCCTCAAGAGTAACTGGGACTACAGGTACATGAAACTGTGCCCAGCTAATTTTTTTTTTATTTTGTATTTGTAGAGGTAGTATTCTCACTCTGTTGCCCAGGGTGGTCTTGAACTCCTGCTCAAGTGATTTGATTGTCTCAACCTCCCAAAGTGCTGGGATTACAGACCTGAGCCACTACTGCCCGCCAAAATATTTTTTCTCTTAGTAATTGTCAGTTAAATTCAAACACATTTTTGGAAACTCAATCCTATTGAATTAAAAGGTACACTTTCCTTATTATAGTAAATAATGGCAATTAGTGAATGAGAAAGCAAAATTATTGAGGCTGGCAGCAGTAGATGTTTAAAATGCTCTAATTGATAAATGCTAATTTTGTAATTGTTTTAGGAAATCTTAGGTCGATTCAATCATACGTTTTCTTTTCATTCGTGTGTACATTATGGGTGAAAAGATATATCTATTTTTATCATTAAGATAAAAGGCAATGCAACAGTAAGGAGTAGTTACGTGAATACATGACAAAAAAGAAAAATTGTTTCTGTAGAAATATATAGAAGATGACTCCAACTCTAGAAAAAATACCATCTAGGTCCAGTAGTTTTGCTAACTGAATTGTTTATTCTTTTACTCTGGAAAGCTATAGATGAGTATTAATATATTAGGTTCAGAGTTCCCTGTTTTTAAATTTTCCATATGAATATTAGAAGACAATGGGGAAAACCACATTGCATATAATTGTTTAATTATAGAAAGAGTAGAAGAAATTCAAGGAAGAGTATTCACCTGACCCTAATTTTTTTTTCCAGATAACTTCTACAATCGAAGACCCCAGCATTTTTGGCCATGTAGAAGAAATGCTGAAACAAACATAATGAGTTTGTTTTATTCCTATTTTGAGTTGATTTAATTTCTTAATTGAAATTAAATTATTTGAGTTGTTTCTCAGAAATAAATATTTCAGTAGAAATTACTGCAAACTGAAATGCGAATTGTAAAACTTGGCCTAAACAAATCTAATGAAAACTTGTGAAAGACCTGTGCCTTTTGTTTGATTTGACCCTGTTAGCATTGTTATTAGGTATCTATAACATGGCTCATTATATGTCATCTACTGCTTTAGGAAAAATGTATCTAGTGTATTATTTTTAAAATTGTACCTCCCAAGAAAAACACTTTAATTGAAAGCAACACTAATATAGAGTCACTTCCCGAAACCAAGAATCTGTAGTTTTGATCCATAGTCTAAAACTTGATTTGAAGTCAGAAAATAATTAAAATTTTTCTAGTAGAAATTTTAGAAATTTTCTAGTATTCTTTAGATGCTCACATTGTTTTAAATAAAATCGATGAAATGGGAAGTTTAGGTAATCATCTAGACAGATGAAATTATTATCTAGGTACAAGGACTTTTCTTTCTATACATTTTCTGAGGGAAAGCAGAACACCAGGGTTACGGCTATACCTTCAGGTCTTTTGTTTCTTAGGCAAGGAAAACCACATGTCTGACCTGGCACGGTGGTTCAGCTTGTAATCCCAGCATTTTGGGAGGCTGAGGCAGGCGGATCATTTGAGGTCAGCAGTTTGAGACCAGCCTGGCCAACATGGTGAAACCCTGTAACTACTGAAAATACAAAAATTAGCCAGGCATGGTGGCAGGAGGCTGAGGCAAGGAGAATCACCTGAACTCAAGAGGCGGAGATTGCGGTGAGCCAAGTTCCACCACTGCACTCCAGCCTGGGTGACAGAGTGAAACTCCATCTCAAAACAACAAGAACAACAATAACAACAAAAAACCACATGCCTGGCAGAGAATCAAGAGATCATTTAGTCCAGTCTCTCAATCTCTTCATGGAGATGAGAGCTCCTGGGAGCCCCTCCTCATGTCTCAGGTTCTTAGTTAACTGTGTATATCCAAACGACTCCAGATTCCTGTGGAAACAAGGAATCGATGTACAAATGAGGTAGGATGGCAAGGAAACTCTTAAGAAGGAAACATCAAGGTTTTTACATTAGGTTAAAGACCAAGAAGGTTTCTAGGCAGGTAGCGTAATGTCTAGATGATTTTGAAGTGAATTTAAGCCACTAGGTTTGAGGGACAAAGGACAGTAGAAAATGGTGAAGACTGCAGATCACCTGCTCCACCTCAAGGAGCAGTGGACCCAGCAGAACACGGCCCAAAAAGGAGACAGGTCTCCTGCTGCAAGAGCCTCTGTTTTTTAAAGAGAAAACAAAGAATCCTGATTTTTCTGTGATATCTCTAATTTTAAAATAGTACGTCATTAAAAAATTGTAATGTCCAAAAGCATCTTTCCATTTAACTTCTAAAAATCTCTTAATTTTTAAAAAAATAATTGTAAAGTGAGTTTTTGTTAAGCTTGTAGGAATGGGCCAGTTAACTAGAGTAGACGGATGTAGGAAATGAAATATTTGATTTATTTAGGGATCTATATGACATCAGTTATCAAAGAATACATTTTAACCCAAAAGTATACCATGCTCATTGTATCTTTGATTGTTCTTCAAGCATTTCTCACTCTTTTAATCTATCAGGAACATTACTATCAAGGGCAGATTGTTGTAACATAATACTCTGGGTACATGAAATGTATGTGAGAGATAAACAGATAATAGAAGGTTTATTGTTATAAAAATGACCTACAACTTATATAAAATTCTGAAAATCTTAACTTTTTTGGACTGAAGGCTGCAAAATAAATGGCTTCTCAAAGTAAATTCCTATTTACTTGGAAATTGCTTTCTTGATTGTTACACCTGGAAAAATACGTTCATCTACTTTTTCCTTTTAATTATGTTAGTAGCCTGAATTAAACCAGCTACATAGACACTCTCTAATTTGAAGCTGCTGGGATCCTTGAATCGCCTCTTTCATTGGTACATTTTATCCATTGTCATAACTGTGGTCTTCATTAATAACTCATTTTAATGTCTTAGAAGTAGAATGGGTTTTCTTATTTTTTTCATATAAAAATCAGTTAATTTGAAATGGCAAATTATTTAGCTGAATGTGTATCATTGTTCTTTTGCAAGGTTTAAACTCAGGCAGATCCAAGAATTATGTAAAGGGAGCATCTTTGCTCCTCTTGCACATCTTTTTCTGGTAATCAAATCTGAAGGGACACCTCAGCAAGCAGACTAGGGTTATTTTCCAGTTGGATGGGAATGGAAAGCAGTGTTTGAGACTGGGGAAGTGGCTATTTCCTGTGTCTGACTGGGGAATTGCAAGGTCAAAGAATGTTGTCACTTTTATGTGATGAAAAACAGGGCAAGAAAGATACATTTGAATCATCAGACTGCTTAACATTTGGGAGAAAAATATTATTCTATTTTACTACTAACCATAAATCACTTTTGCTAGATAGTACTTAAAATATTCTGAATTAAATGTATCTTTAAAACCAACAATATAATGTTACTAAAAAATGCAGCTATACTTAAACTTGCTAGAATAAATTCTTTGAGGACTTCGTTTGGTATTTTCATAGGATTTCTTACTGTAAGTTATTGGAAAACGAAAATATAAAGTACTTTCAAAAGTTATAGTGAAGTATTTTCCAATTCATCGAATTACTTTGCTTGTCAAAATATATTAAACATATGAAAATGAGACCTCTCCTACATTTAAAAACCAGTTTTGTTTATATAAAATTGTATTTGAAATGTCTTGAACATTAAAAATGTGAAAATTTATAATGTTGATGATCAAAATATAATACGTTGATCCATTAAATGGATTTTAGAATGTGGCAGAAGTTATAAGTTAAATCATATTTTATGCTTTTTTGAGGGAAATAGCTGCATCTTTTGCATCACTATATGTTAGTGTCTATCATAGATGACTAATCTTTCTAACTTGATCTTTAAACGAAAGAAATTTATTTTAGTGATTGAGTGGTATTTAATAGTAGATACAAATCTAGTTATGGCATTATAATGTTGTAGTTCCTATATTCTATTTCATTTCTGTGAATCAAGATGCCCATGTTTAGATAAGCTTAGAAAGCTCTTTCTCATTGTTCCTACTCAGGCCACATTTTTTAGAAAAATTTAAGATCACTCCCATAAGCAAGTTTAGATCTCCCTCTTGTGGGCAGACTCAATTCTGAAGCTAAATATTTGAGTCACCCAAAGAACACATTTCCTGATAGCTTAAGTAAATTGTCGAGCCTTATGTGACTAGAAAACAAAGCTTAAACAGAGAACTGGAAGTATTTTTTTTTTTTATTGACAATGGAAAGGGTTTCTATTACCATTACCTTTTGACTGAATCTGTTAAATAAAAATAGACATCAAAACAAATGTAATGTACGTGCAAACATAGCAAATTAAAATACAGAAAAGAAATTACTAATGACAGATCTTGCGCTTAATACGATCAAGCAGCAGAAAATCAGCAGTTAGATAAATGGTATTATTAAATAGGCTTTACTTTGAATCTCCCATATAAACAAAGAATAAACAACAGTAACACCACCAAATAAAGCCACAGGGAAGAGATTACTCTTCTATACTTTTATACACTATATATGTTAATCATTCTGTCTTTCATTATTTCCTCTGATAAAACTGACTTCAGGGAAGTCACAACAAGGCCATCTCGGCTAAAAGCTTATAACATTAGACATGAGTCTGGCTAATGCCCTGTTACATTGACAAAAGGGAAAGGTATCTTGGGTTTTGTTTTCTCTAGTGGAAATGAGCCTCAGACTCCGCAGTGGTTGACATTCGCTGTCCAGTACTGGCTGGCAGTTCAAGATATTTGAATGAACATGTGGTTCTTAGTAAAGAAGTTTTTTGTTTTTTGTTTTTTTGTCTTTTTTTCTTGGTCCACAGGTAACAAGAGAAGATTATGGTTTTTTAATATAAATTTTTAAATAATTGCTTTTGACTCTTGTAAACAGCTTGGCTTTGTTTTGTATTGAAAAGGAGATCAAGCCATCACAGTGCTATTTCTAAAGATATAGGACATCCCTGATTGCCTTTAAAGCTCTATTTTTGGCTCCGGTTCCAGGTTAAATCATTCTTTTTCACATGATCAGAGGCAGGTTGTTCAGCTTTAAGTATTGACAGACTTGAAGGAGAAACATGTTGAAGCATGAAACATGCTTCAAGGAAACATATTGATTTGACTATTAACAATTCAAAAACTGTAAAAATGGTGGAATGGTAAAATACAAACAGTACTTGGAATTGTCAAATGTTTGCACTCGAGACTCCATGAACCATATATTTTATTTTTTAAAAAATCATATTTATATCCATTTACATAAGACTTACACATTTAAAAAGAAATGCACAGTAATACATAAATGCCTAGTATATTACAATAAAACATGAAAAACAACTGGCTTCATTTCATAAAAGCATCTGTTGTACAGAGTTTATGATGTAGATGATGTTTATTATTCAAATGACTTAAGCATTTTATTACAAGTGTAGTAAACTAATCAAATGTAATATCTGACTCCCCCCAAAAATCACATTTTTCAGCTTTTAATAAGTCATGACGTCATTATTTCCTTAGAATTCAGATTTCACAAAGGTTTTCACTGCTCGTCTTCTTAGATGGTAGTGCACTTTAGGTAGAGTAGACTGAAAAGACGCCATCTAAAATATACAATGGAGAGCATTAGTTCACTGAAAAGTCCCAGACTGGGAAATCTCATTCTACTTCTCTGTGGTGTACCTCCATGCAGCCTGCTTACTCCTGTCCTAAAAGATTATGGGAAGGAAATCATCTAGGATGTAGCCAACAGCCATATGTAATTAACATTTGCTCTTCTCCAATTTGGTGCAGGGGAGCTTAACAAATAATAGAATTTGCTCAAATTTGTGGAAAGTATGGCAATAATGTAAACAAAGGTAGTTATGCAAGATGTTAGCATGCCTTCTGAAAAATTTACAACTTGCTAATTAATAAATTGGGTTGAATTGACCTATTTCATAATATAGATTTATATTCTAGTTCATATATTTTAGAGTTCTTTAAAAATACCTTTATTTGTCACAAAAACATAATGATAATAAGTCACCTATTTTAAACGGTTTGTGTCAGTAGTATGGCATTGCTGATTCTTTTCAGCCATAATATACTTAGAAAAACCTCACAATTGCTATTACTGACATGAAAGAAACAGCAAGCAGTATGCTCTGGATTATTTTAATAACAAAAGTGTTATTGTTTCACCAAAACAAAAAATGGTTGTCCTAGATTGAATTATTGTAAATGAATACTGTTATCCCAGATAATGGTAAAAACTAGGAAATATGAACTAGAATGCCATGCACGAAAAACAGATTGCAAATAGTTAGAGGAACTCTACCCATCAGTTAAGAGCTAAGAAGCAAGCACTATTGAACATATTAAATAGTCATTTGTAAATTAGTGAAGTGTTCATTTCCTGAAGAAATTATGCTGCTATGTGTAGAATCTATTATAAACAGTATTTTGGGAGACCTCTTATTCAGACAAATTATTATACACTTTAAATCATGCCTAATTAGATGCTAAATTATATACCATAATTAAAATTTTAATGTAAGGGTTCTACATTCTGAAATTAAATATCTTATCAGGATGCTTTTTGTTTTATCACTTCAAATAGTGATCCAAATAAGGCATCATATCTGCTCCCATCTTAAGCCCAAAAGACCAACAATAAATTGTGTGGAGCTTTTAGTTCAAGGCAACGAAAAACAGCACAAGGCAAGCTATTCCTCTGCCTGTAACTGGTTTCTCTTATCCCTGTGCACACTTATTGTTCTAAATATCGCCATAAAAAGTATTTTTCAAAAATATTAATTCATCAAAAGTGGTTAAATATTTTGGTAAAGCATAGTTTTAGGTTGAAAAAAACTATGAACATTTGACATTTATAAATCTAGGAAACCACGGTTTTACTATTAAGACTGTTTTTCAAAAAAATCTCATTTTTATATGGATTTTAAAGTAGCTTTCATTAATTAGTATTTCCTTAAAATCAAATGCCTGGTATTTATGGTTACATAGGAAGGTTTTGTGCTGGTCCTATCCTCCACTGTTATAAAGTAACTTTATTTTGTTCCTATAAGTCTCAAATACTTAAAATTTATATTTGTTTTTAGCAAATATAAACTTGTAATTGTAATTTACATTGTAAATTTAAACGTGTAAATCAGATTGATAAGATACAATGTAATCAAGGTTTAAATTTTTTGCAGTTTCTACTCTTTATTTCTTTCGAGATGGAGTCTCGCTCTGTCACCCAAGCTTGAGTGAAATGGCATGATCTCCGCTCACTGCAACTTCTGCCTCCCAGGTTCAAGTGACTCTCTTGCCTCAGCCTCCCAAGTATCTGGGATTATGGGAGTGCACCACAATGCCTGGCTACTTTTTGTATTTTTAGTAGAGACGAGGTTTCACCACATTGGCCAGGCTGGTCTGTAACTCCTGACCTGAAGTGATCCACCTGCCTCGGCAAGTTTCTACTTTTTAATATGAAACCATCTCTAAGTCATTTTCCTGTCTGTTGCTGTTTGACTCTGTTAACTTGCTTAAATCCCTATCTGCTTACCTTGACTTCCTTATACAAAATATACACTTAAAAATATAGGATTTTTTAAAGTGTTGAATTATTATCAATAAAATGTTAAGTGAATCAATAGGAAATGGTACTAAAAAATAGAAAACAGTGTAGTGGCAACCCATTGATGTGTAATAATAGAGTGATAGGCCTCCAACAGGCAGACCTTAAACCATAGCAGACAGATGGTGATAGGAAATACTAGACTAAGTGTTACAATACAAAGATTTCTTTTTTCCCTGAAGCAATTCAAAAGGGTTATCTCACTTCTGTACTGCTAGGGCATACCAAAGAATATAGTGTATATTTATTAGTCTATGTAGGTTCCATTTTTTTTGTCTTTTTTTTTTGTCAGCCAAAGGGAAACTACTCACAGCAGGTCAGTGCTGCCTCCTTTGAGTGGCTTGTCAACATGAGTATGTGCGAACAGTGGAGTTGTCTAACCTCTGCAGTCTTGATGAAGCAACTGCAAATGGAGAAAAGGGCTTTAGAGGGACTTGGATGATTGAGTACAAGATTTCAGATGAGAAAGATTTATTTTCCCTGCATACGGGGATTCTGAACATATTAGTAGACCTTCTTTCTCTCAGATATAAGCCACTCACATTCCTCTTCTCTAGATCAAGTTCCTAATGAAAATTTATCCCAGTGTAATTGACCTGAGCTTTTGAGTTGTTATGTATCCCTCCTTAGATGAAATCTGTAACAAGAGCAGCTCCCCAGGGTGCTTCTGTTTTTGATATAGAGATTGCTCTTAGAGAACTCATTATAGTGGATTTTTTTTCCGCTTCAAGTATTGAAGAACTTCTACACTAATTGTAATGATGTTAAATTCCTCATGAATTTCGCTGACATGTTCCACCATATTAACAAGTTGTAAGAAATGTAGATCAAGATCATGGTTTATGCTGGAATAAATTTGAGTTATAATAACTATGACCTTGGAAAGAAATAATGATGCTAGGTGATTATCTTAACAAATAGAGTGGGACTATTTTTCTTAAATGCCTTCCAAACAGAAATAATTTTGTGACTACTATTTCAAAGTTGTCTCTCCTCTGGAATGACTGTTTTCTTTTGTAAATTAGATAGCTTAAGTCTAATGTCCACAGAAGGAAATAGTAATTGGGAAATTACTGTGTTTTGTGTTTCTTTAATTCTCTTCTCATGTTCGTGCTTGTTTATTTAAGGGCTTCTGCTTTGGTCAGAGGGAAAAAATATCTGATGAGTCTGAATTTCTAAGATGACATATAAAACTCACAGTATTTCAACATGTAGGGGGACAGTGGAGTTAATTTCCATTTACTAAGAATCTTTAGTCCAAGTCCAACCTCTAACTTAAAACAAATTGTTAATTTGGGGAATAGAAGACTAAAGAAACACAAATCATGCAGATGTTTATTGTTCCTCCTAGAGGTGGACATTAGCCAAACTGTTCTTTTTAGGATGTTATAAATTATTTTGAAAATGTGAACAAAGTGCCATGAGTTCATGCAATAGCAGTGTAAAAAGGAGTCTGGTTTGTGATGAGAGCAAAGTAAATTTCAAGCAGAGCAAACCAACTCAAGAAAATAGTTCCAGAAAGCAAGGTCAGAGAATTATACAAGCTTTGGCTAAACAAGCTTTTTGCTTTATAAGCAGCAACACAAAACTACTGTACCATCTGTTGTCATTTTTCTTGACTGCCCAGATGTTGTGGTTAACCTAAATCCAGCTGGTAATGTTTCTGAGGACCCAGGCATCATGCTGATTCCATGTACTTCCCGAGGAGGAAACTGCCTTCTCCAGGTTGATCCACGTCTGAAGTTCTTGTCATCACTCTGCCAGTACAGTTATAATGTGATGTTATGAAAACAAGTAAACTAGTCCATGTGCTTAAAGCAGTGTGCTTAGACACATGTAACATAGATTATTTACATTTAGCCTATCAAGTATACATATGGAATCATGCTTTATCGAGACAGTTCTATGATTCCAAAACAAGACTATAGGAGATTTGATATATAAATTTTTAAATAAAACTTTTCATACAATTTCAGATTTAAGGTCGACATCTAGACAGTAAATATCTTTGAAAGCCTAAAATAAGTCACCAATGTTTTCCAAAATAAATATTGGATATACATTGTTCCACTTTATGCCTACTGGTTTTATGGAATGAGATGATATACTTAATTGAATCAGTTGTTGAGTAGACTACATTTAACTCAAATACTTGAATGAAATGACTTTTACGTACACAAATACAATGTAGGTATTTGTTTCAGGGAAATCTATATTTCAGATGACATGGCTAATAGGAGATACTGTAGCCTATTATTATATCTGTACAAGAAACTCTAAATATGTGATTTGTGAAGTTTTAGGTGACACAGAATTAATTTGCAATTTGTTGAAAAATCTGTATAGCCTGGACACCATCCTTTCAATAAGTACATGTGGTCCTTGGGTGCCACTGAAAGCATAATGTTACCCTGGTTACATTTTAATAATGTGTATTTTAATATACACAGAGGCAGAGAGTCACATCTCATTTAATCGGCCCAATAGACTTTTTTCCTAGTTCATTACTATCAGGAAGCAACATTATACCCCACATAGGCTAGCGTCTCTACTTGGACAGATCCTAGGGTGAATCCACATTTTAGAATGTAGCACAGCAATTACATTTTAATTCTGGTTGCTGATTTTGTTAGGCCCTAATGAAATAATCTCTTCTCCCTGTGTGTATACACGAAGTACTTTTACAGACACAATTATTTTCCTCCAAATTGGCAAGTAGCAATATATAATTCAGCAGTTAATGAATATTATGTGTCTAATTCTGAGGAAAATATGAATCATTCCACACAGGTCTTGTCTTCCCATCTCATTGTTTCTTACCTAGGGAAGGACTATCTATTCCATGAAGTTATAGCCAAGTATATGTTGTGTATCCTAATATCTCATTTGATTTCATTCTGGCATTTGGAATAATAGGTCTATAGTCACTCAACATAGTAATTTGTGCTATATTATAGTGAATAACTCTATAAGGTAGTCTTTGTAGACTGCTATATTAGTTAAGGGACATGTAAAGTCAATCAGGGAAAACTAAAATCATTTTTATATAATAACATATCCACCGTTTCAATCCTTATCATTAAAACCTACATTTTGTTTCAGTGTGGTAGCCATTTTGCACATTAAGAGATGTCTGCTACTCTTCTCAACTGCTGTGTTTTTCATTGCCCTAGACCTCCAAATGTGTGTAAATGTAGAAAACAAACAGAATTTCACAGTTGCAGCCTCTATGACTTCTTGATTCTTGGAGAAGTTTTTGCATTAAGCATAAATAGTCTTTAGTTTTATAAAACACTATGTTACACTGTAGAGCTACACAACTCCTTACAGTGTTGTAGCTAGGGTCTTAAAAATAAGCCAGTTTTGGCCAGGCGTGGTGACTCACGCCTGTAATCCTAGCACTTTGGGAGGCCGAGGTGGGAAGATAACCTGAGGTCAGGAGTTCGAGACCAGCCTGACCAACATGGAGAAACCCTGTCTCCACTAAAAATGCAAAATTAGATGGGCGTGGTGGCGCATGTCTGTAATCCCAGCAACTTGTAAGGCTGAAGTGGGAGAATCGCTGGAATCCATGAGACGTAGGTTGCGGCCGGCCGAGATCACAGCACTACACTCCAGTCTGGGCAACAAGAGCGAAACTCCATCAAACAAAACAAAAAACAAAAAACAAAACAAACAAACAAAAACCAAAAAGCCAGTTTTTATTTGATTCTATTTATTCATTTAGACGGAGTCTTGCTCTGTTGCCCAGGCTGGAGTGCAGTGGGGCAATCTCGGCTCACTGCAAGCTCCGCCTCCCGGGTTCACGCCGTTCTCCTGCCTCAGCCTCCAGAGTAGCTGGGACTACAAGCACCCACCACCACACCCGGCTAATTTTTTATATTTTTAGTAGAGATGGGGTTTCACCCTTTCAGCCAGGATGGTCTCGATCTCCTGACCTCGTGATCCACCCACCTCGGCCACCCAAAGTGCTGGGATTACAGGCGTGAGCCACCTCGCCTGGCCAAAAAAAAACCAGTTTTTAGAGTTGAGGGTGTGAATTATGATTCTTTCAACATATTGTTAATGCAGAAAGTTAACAGAACTATAAACAACAACATCATGGGGAAACGTTTTCATGAGATAGGATTAATTCTTTTAATTGGAGCCAAAGTCTGCATAAGGTTGTTGACACCTCTCAAATTATTTCAGTGGAATCTGAATGTGATCAGCAAAACCTCAGAAATAAGTCAACTACTGTTCTAAGAAAGTTGGTTATTTTTGCTCACACTAAAAATAAATAAATAAATAAATAGATAAGTAAAATTGAACAAAAGAGACTAGAGGGTTTAAATGACAAAATTATATTTTGTGCTTTTAAAAATAAGAAGCAGCCGCAGCATAGTTTAAAGACAAAGAGTCGTATCTCATTTAATTGGCTCCATAGACTTTTCTTCTAGTTCATTACTATCAAGAAGCCACCCCATACCTGGACAGCTCCTAAGAGAACGTAGCAATATGACAAGTCTTCAATAATTTTTTATTATAAATTTTTGCAACTTTTAAGAAAGAATAATTGTATTTTAAGGTGTATGAGTTTATAAGACTACCTTTTTGAATCAATCATTTCTAGTAAGGATTAAAAAGACTGTCATGCAACTTACAAGACTAGGCTTTTAAAAATATTAATCATTATTCTGATTGAATAAGAGCATGAATTTAGCAGAAGTTAGCTGAGTTAGATAAGACTGTAGAACTTATCTCTTTATAATCCCCACCATAAGGACAGAGTGGATTTTATAATACCAAGATTATCTGTCCTGCCTATTTGAATATAGAATGATTGGTCCATATTTGGATTTGCTGAGTTCTTCACAAAATAATTTTAATCAGCTTGTCTTTGTGGCAAGAAACACTTGTACTTTGCAACACAGAATTATGCATCTCTTTATTTTCTATTTCATGCTCAGGTTTCCTTCCCACTTCTTCCAGAAAGACCCTGTAGAAAAACTCAGAAAGACTATTAACATGTCTACAGTCCACAGCATTTGCTGATATCCCTCGTATTCATTCATCCTGGGAGGCTACCTACATGTTTATTTTTTTCCAAATAATTTAATATTAATATATTATATAGTGATTCTTATACTCAATATAGCTTTCAAATTCTATGACTGTTAAAATGTTATTAATCTGTTTTGAAGGAAAACTCAGTATCGATATACAAAATAATAAAAACTTCCCATTTATTGAAGCAAGTTTTATCCTCGTTTTAATTTTCTAAAATTTCCTGGCAAGATATACTGATATTTGAGAAATAAATGCACTCTTTATTAAAAAGCTGAATATATCAACATTAGTGTTTTAATTTTTTTCTAATTGTTTTAAAAAATGTTGCCCAACATTTTGCAGTCACAACTCATAAAAAAGTTTTGTAAATAACTATTTTGTATCTCTAACTGTCAAAATGATAATATTTATGAATTAATACAGCTCTTTCCAAAATTAAGTAATAAGATTGAATATTTAACAACAAACCTGGAGAAAATTCTTGATTCTAACCATAGAACAGTCATTTGATTAATTTCCAGGCACTATTCAGTAAAAACAAAGATGGTCTATCATTTTTCTTTTACTCTCTCAGATCTCTTTTGAATAACAGGTACACTTACTTCATCCAGTCGCCTTTCAGTTCCCAGGGCCAAGAGGTTATTGTATTCCCTTTCAAGAATCTGCCTTGCCTGTTGACGTCAAATTACAGTTACCATCACTGAAATGGCATTTTATTTTAAAAATCATGTAGCTCATATTTATCTGAGAATGTATTATAAAACATACTTTATTTATGGGTTTTAAAGTTTTTAGTCCTCCATGTCTATTATTAGCCACTGTAAATTTTAACTACAAAAAATATATATACTTTTTTGTTGTTTTTTTTGTTTGTTTGTTTTTTTGTCTGTGAGCAGTAGAGAGACAGCTTTGCATAAACGTCTGAGGTCAAGAGGCTTTGGTGTCACTTCATTACTTTATTTCAATTGAGTATTTTGTTTAATCTCTAGAATATGTAAAAACGAAATAAAAAGTGAAATTGGACTGCCAAATTTTTATCAGACCTATGCAGGTAGTTCTCAAACCTGGCCAGCGATTATCATTTGAGGAAAGTTTTGATAATAAAGATTCCAATGCCCTATCTCTTGATAACTGATGTCTTAGGACTATGACGTGGGTTGCAGGTTTTATTTTTTATTCATAAGGAACTAGACTGATTCAAATTATTATCCAGTTTTGGGAATCACTGGCATATCCAATGCTAACGGTCTGTATAATTCATACATGTAAATGGAAATGACTGCCTCTCAGAGAGGCAGAGACTGATGGCCATCTGTCAGGGATTTCATTTAGTGGAATCTGGCATTCAGGTGGGAGACTGGGCCACATAACTTCTAAATCCCTTTCTTGTTTAATTGTATGATGTTTCTTGGCTAGAAATCCACTAGCCTGAAATTAAAACTCCAGTGACATATTTCAAACACTGAGCTAACTTTCATTAACAATCATGAATACACAGCCATTTTTTCCTAAAAGTTTAGATTATCATTAGATAAACCAGAACACATCGAGACTACAGCAAAAAGCGACTTACCTGGGTGTTCTGTGTTGGAATCTGTAATAATAAAGCTAAGCTGCTGTAGTCAAAGTTTTCATCCAGGGCTATAAGTGAGCCATGCACACCGCTCTCAAGTATATTATTTGCATATTCTCGAAGTCCAATTGCTTGTATCCAGCGAATAACTCGGTCATTGCTCCACACCAACACGTCTAGGAAAAGACATGCATCGTTTTAGGATGCAGTATTTTGCATAGTAGAACCACTGGCTGAAATGAGCTATGGGTATCTGGCCAGGTCACATTTATGCTGATTTATTCACACTCTAATGCATCTGGCTCCCTTCATTTGCGTGTAATTACTGTTTTAATATTTAACCCTTTCGAATCTCTATTTAAAAAGTTGTTCTTTTTCAGAGTGTTTGTTATACCTAAAATGACAGCACTTCAGTCGCATAGAACAAGGTGTCTGTGTTTTTCTTGTTTTCATACTAGAGCCCTAGGGGTCTGTCTGAAGTTCAATATTTTTACCACCAGATGGAGACATATCTTATTTGTGTCTTGATACATGCCTCTTCAGTAAACAGCAGACGAGATTGTAATACTGTCTTTCATCAGAAGTGTTTATTAACCACTACCTAAACATGGGCATATAGAATAGAAGATTGTTTTTTTCACCTGAAGTAATACATAAGAACAGAACAGTAAGATAATATAGGGCATCAACAGATGGATACTTACTTTACTATTATATTCCAATGCATTTTTCCCAATCACATGCTAACGCAAAATTCAAGCACTCAGTCAAATGTCAAAAATTGCTTCCACTCTGTTGAAAGTAATATTCTATTGAGGAACAAAATCCTTTGATTTTTATTTTCTAAAAATAAAACTTTTAGAGAAAAATGTCATGTTTCTTTTTTTTAGATAAAAACATCAAATTATGTTTTATCACTTATTTTCTTCAATATCTTCCCATTAAAAATTGGCAGAATGCTACGTAAAAACCAGTAAAATAGTCAGGACTAAAGTCATCCATAGAAAAGAAAGAATTTTAAGAAACTTAAGGGGATACGAGAAAAAAATTAAAACATTTTTACTACCCATAGAAGGGGAAAGGAAACTATAATTACTATTTAAGTAAAAGTAAGTTTCCTGTCTGATTTTTTCCTTTCTAATGAAGTGTACAACTTTTTCAGAAAAAGTATAAAAATCTTTCAGGAAATATTCTTCAACTTTTAACTGTTTTAAATAACTGTTTCAATAAGCCTTTGAAAAGCATGTTTTAAATATGTTTTGATGAGTCTTTGAAAAGCCTTATTTATCCTATTTTATTCATTTATAACCAACTTAGGTGTTCTTGTGTATAACTTTGAAGCAATAAAGTGATAGCACAGACCCACAGAAGTTCCCTCAAGCACCTTCTCAGGCACCATTCTCACTTAACAGTAACCAATATTCTGACTACTTTCATTTTCGAATCGCCTTGCCTGATTTAATTTTTTTTTAGCTTTTTATACATAAAATCATACAATATGTACTTTTTTGTCTGCCTTTCATTCAATATGGAATTTATCTATGCTTTAGCAAATAGCATTGGTGTGTTCATGATCATTGCTATCTAGCATTCCATTGCTTGATTATGCCGCAATGTATCCATTCTACTGTAGATGGACATGTGAGTAGATTCCATTTTGGGTTATTAAGAATAGTGTTGCTTTGAGGGGGAAAGGATGGGGAATGGCAAGGGATAAAAAAACAACACATTGGGTACAGGGTACACTGCTTAGGTGATGAGTGGACAAAAATGTCAGAAAAATCACTACTAACCAAATCACCATATAACCAAACAGCACCTGTTCCCCAAAAAAACTATTGAAATAAAAAAATAATAAATAGTGCTGCTTTGAATATTGTTATACATGTATTTTGTATATTTACATGTTGCAGTAGAATAAATAACAACGAATAGAATTGTTATATGTTTACTTGTTAGCAGGTATTGCTAAGCAAATTCCACTCTCACAATTTAAACTCACATTATTAATGTCTGAACATCTTCATCTTTACCAATGCTTTGTGTTTCTCATTTTTGTTTTTCTCTTGCTTAATTTTTAGCCATTATAGTAGGTGTATGGTATTATGCATTGAATTGTGTCCCCCCAAATTCATGTAGAAGTCCTAACTTTCAGCACCTAAGAACGTAACCTTACTTGGATATCAGGTCTTTATAGAAATGATCAATTAAAATGAGTCAATAGAGTTGGCCCAAATTCAATAAGACTGTTATCTTTCTTAAATGGCAAAATTTGGAAACAGACATGCACACATGGAGAGCACTATAAGATGATGAAGGCAGGGATCATGGTGATGTGCCTACATGCCAAAGAACATCAAAGATTGCCAGCAAATCACCCGAAGCCAGGGGAGAAGCAAATAACAGATTCTTCTCAGTAGGAACTGACTCTGCTAACACCTTGGTCTGGAACTTCCAGTCTCTAGGACTGTGAGACAACAAATTTCTGTTGTTTAAGACACACAATCTTTGGAACTTTAATACAGCAGCCCCGACAAACTAATACATGGGGTGTCTCATTATAGTTTTAATCAGTAACACCCACTATGAACTGAAAATGTCTGATACTTTTAAAGTTTGTCAGTTTTTACTTCCTGTATTTTAAATCTACATATTAGATGTATACTAATTTGCTATATCTTCCCTTCTATTATTTGAAAATAGCCAACTTATTTCTAGTATGTTTCCTGCCTTAAAGTTTATATTCTGATATTAGAAGAATCATATAAGCTTTGGTTAATATTTGCATGTGTACCTCCTTTACTAATAAGTTTTCTATGTTCTTATATTGAAAGTGTGTCTGTTGTGTACAGCATATTCATTGTTTTTCAATCTGTCTTTAAATTGAAATAGTTAGTTCTTGCCCATTTAATATTATTACTTTGATATTTGAGTTGAATTCTACCGTCTTTCTATTTGTCCTACCTGTTCTTTGTTCCTTTTCTCTCTTTCTTGCCTTTTATTATGTTTTCTTAGTTTATTCTACCACTCCATTAGCTTTTTTTTTTTTTTTTTTTTTTTGAGACAGAGTCTCACTCTTGTTGCCCAGGCTGGAGTGCAATGGCATGATCTCTGCTCACTGCAACCTCTGCTTCCAGGGTTCAAGCAATTCTCCTGCCTCAGCCTCCCAAGCAGCTGGGACTACAGGCATGAGCCACCACGCCTGGCTAATTTTGTATTTTCACTAGAGATGGGGTTTCACCATGTTAGTAAGGCTGGTTTCATCTCCTGACCTCAGGTGATCCACCTGCCTTGGTCTGCCAAAGTGCTGAGATTACAGGCATGAGCCACCATGCCCCGCCCTCTGTTAGCTTTTTATATTTACACTTTATATTATTGTTTTAGTAGTGGCACTTAAAGCTTATAATGTGTTCTTATTAGAGTCTATTATAAATTATTCCTTTTATTATTTTCTAGATAATGCAAAGACTTTCAAACAATTTAATTTCACTTATTCCCTTCCGGCCTTTTGCATTATAGTTATGTATTTTAATTCTATGTAAAATGTAAGCCCCGCAGATATTATTGTTTTTACTATTATTGTGAAATTTACCCATACATTTTTCAGTTCTCCTCCATTATGTGTGCATTTTAAAAATTATCTTTATGATCATTTCCATCTGCCTGAATCACTTATTCTAATATTTCTTTTCTATTTGTTTTTTTTCTGGTGAAATAATCTCTCAGATTTCGTTTGTCTGAAAGTATGTTAATTCTGTCTTTAATATCGAGGGACATACTTCAAAGTAAGAAGTTAGTTTGATTCACCGTTTTAAGGCTATAATTCCATCTTCCTCTAGCATTATTTACTTGAGCAATATCAGTTATCTTATGTTGTGCCTTTGAAATTATTGTGGAGTTTACTCTGGCAGATTCTAAGATTTTGTGGCATGAGAATTCATGGTTTTCAGTAGCTCTATTGTAATATGTTTAGATGTGTTTTTATTTTCCCTTTTGTTTATAGTCTCACGTGGGGTCCATCGAGAACTTTGAGTCTGTGGATTATCATTTCAGTTATTTTCTTTTTATGTCTCCACCAGTATCTTTTCAAATATTGTGTCTTTCTTATTGTCTCCTACCTCACCATGTCCAATGTCTCCAATGATGTTTTATATCACTCATCCTTTTTGTTTTTTGCTTATGTGGGGCTACATGTTTTCAAGTGATCTTTTATTTCACTAAACTCTCTTCTATTGTTAAATCACCTATTGCGTTCTCAATTAAAGTCTTTATGCTACTCACTTCTTCAAATTTTCGTTTGATTATTTGTTAAACATATTGATTCCAACTATATTAAATTCTCCATTTTGTCACTTATATTCCTTACATATTTTTAATAAACAGTGTCAGGGTCAACTATGGATATCTTTCTTTTTTCTGATTTTATCATCTTGGTTTTCCTCATTTTGGCCATTATCTGACTGAGTTTTTCTTTTACTGGCTCTCACACAATATGATTGAAAAATTGCAGAGGTTCTGAATGTCAACTTCTTGAGAGGACTTTGCTTTTATGTTTTTCTGAAGTTATAATAAAGGCAGATCAACTTAATTCCAATTAAGGATTGAGATAAATCAATGCTAGATTTCAATTTTAACATTGCAAAATAAAGTCTAGGAATCTCCTTCACTATAGTAACCATTTTACTACCTATATGTGTTCTATAATATGTTCCAAACCTCAAATATATATAATAAAATTTATTTTTAACATTAATAGACATAATAAATAACCTGATCTCTTTAAGTTTACCCTCAGTCATAGGGTGTGTCTTATCAGAGACCTCAAATTAAAGTGTATTTGGTGGTTAAAACCTTTGGGTTTTTTTTACTGTATTACCATGAGATTACAAGAGTCCTCTTTCTAGATTTATTGCCCTTTGGCTTTGGTTTTCTGTTCAATTTTTATCTTATAATTCCATCCTTTTTAGAAATCCACAAATGTCTCTAGAGGAGTACAGTCTTACTTATTTTATTATTATTATTTTATATAGATTCTTTGCTCCTAAAGGCCCAGCAGTTTGGGCACCTCTAAATTCCTATCCCCACCACCGCCCAACTCTGTTCCCTCCTTCTCTGTTAGAAAGAGGAAAAACAGTAGAGAATGACAGTTTCACCATTTCCTTACATTTCTCTTTTTTCCAAGATCATAACTTCTCAAGTCCTGTCCCTCTTAATTGGTTTCTACTGTTTTCAAATAGCTCCTTATTACCATTTATTGATTTATCTAGCCTTTCTATTTCTTCTTGGCAGAAGATTGGTCTGACTTAATGTACCCCAATCTATCAGAAGTAGAAGTTCTTCAGATTAGTTGGTGTCCTTTCTGTCTGTGCCAATCCACAGTGCTATCTGTATATGAATCTGGAAGTTGTACATATGTCTGTCTCACATCTCTCTACTTAACTCCTTTTGTGGATTGAATGATCTCATTTCAAAAGAAATGTCCTAGATCTTTCTTTGGATTTAGGTAAGAAGGAACATGAGAGGAATGCCCACGTCCCACAATCTTATTACTATTAACTGCTGCATCCAAAACAGAATGAATTTCTGCAAGAAGTAGAACATTTATTGTCCCCCCTCAGAGTTTTGCCTCTTTCTTCCCCACTGGTCTTCAGCAAAGCAAAGGATTTCCTTAATATTCTTTATTATATCAAGAAATTTTATATTATATGTGTTAGTTGTCTCTCCGGGTCAGTTCTAAAGTGTAGCTTTTCCTCTGAGTTTTCCTTAGCCTATTCCATTGGGGTTTTTGGACCTCAGAAAATGGGCATCACATTTTGGCTGTATAATCAGCTGCTGTTGATAGTTACTGATTCATTCTAACAACTGGTTACCCTACACTTGAACCCCAAAAGCTAGGCAAGTGCTTGTGGGTGGCAGCAACAGTTCTCCATTTAATTTTACTAAACACACCGTTTTTAAAAAACGAACGTGACAATGCTCTCAATAATTAAAACAAAATCCAGTTTTCTTTGCACTAGATGGATTTGTAAACAGGGAGTGTTTGGTTTTTTCTAGCGTTAGGTTTATATTTTGATAGTCTAAGACATATTATATGGTCATGATATTTCTGCAAATAGGTGCCCATCAAAAATTCCATCGACACACCTGCAGTTAAGAGTGATCAAATATTTAACATGATCTGTTTATGAGGTAAAGGCAAATAAAGCATGAATTCAAACTTTTCCTCGTCAGAACAAAATACTTCTTTTTGTTTCATTTTTAAAGTTAGATCCCTTTCCGTAAATCTGTTTCCAAGCAATGTATATGCACTGACTTTAAAAGTGTGTAGAAATCTTCTTGACCTAAACAATAAATGGCTGGAGATCAGTGTTGACTGATTCTTAGCAAAAAATAAAATGTTACTAGGTTCTTGATATTCACATGGTCTTTTCACTTCAGAAAACTATTCATTAAGGTCAAGGTTAAATAACACTTCAGATAATAAGAGACCCCTAGTCACAGTTGAGAATTATTCCTGTAAATGTCACCAGATCGTCACAGGAAACAAGCTATTTATGATCTCATTCACAGCTATTTATCAGATAGAGTTGTGTGTGATCATAGTGAATCATGGCAGGTTTTTTTTTCCTCAGAGCTACACTCTCATCAGCAATTGCCAAATACTAATATAACATTTGGTATAGGGCCAACTGGGTAATTCCTCTCCTTTAGATCTATCTATATGTGAAACATTTCATGTGGTGAGCTGAGGCATAATAAAATGCAATTGGATAAAAATACTTCAGAAAGGAAACTACAAAGTGGTATCCCATGGGTAAAATCTGTGTGCTAAGACATTCATTGTGTGGTCAAATGCAAACTTCCTTCTGGGGGTCTATCTTTGGTCCATTAACTCCCAAATTTCAATTCAACTGAACAGCAATGCACTGAAAACAACCTGCAATTTCCTGGGGCCCCAAAATAAAGTGAAATCAAACAACTCGATTTTGATAATGGAAAAACACTTTCTGGCTTCGAAGTAATGCATCAAATGAAGTGTTACAAGAAATCCATTGTGAGTCTGTCTACTCTCTGATGAGCCATACATAGAAAACTATTTTTAACCAATCACTTTCACACGCATTCAAGCCCATTCCATTAGAACTAATGTACTTTCCAAGACCTGCCAAAGATAAAAGTAATTTCTGACATTGTTTATCAAAAATGTAAATTATAGAAACCTAAAAAAAATCTTAAAGAATAAAACAGCACTAAACGTTAATATTGGATAACGTAATACATACTATTTTATTATCTAAATTAAGCCTTAAAAGTGAAGATGAAAACAGAAACCCATGCCTACCTTTGAACAATTAATGTAATGTAGAAACACCCACTAAATTTGATATAATGCTTGCACATATCAACTCTTGGATAATAGGAAATGGAAATATAACTAATAAGTATTTTAATATCCAAAATTTTCTTTAAAAATTTTGGTTGTATTTTCCTTAATATTTTTCTTCTTTAAACAACAAAAGTGGATTGATTAGTTTTAGCAAAAAATGCCCTCACATTATCTTAAGTGAAATAATTCAGAAACAGAAAGTCAAATACCTCATGCTCTCACTTACAAGTGGGCACCAAATAATGTGTCCAAGTGAACATAGAGTATGTAGTGATAGTCACTGGATTCTCAGAAGGGCGGGAGTTTGGGAGGGTGGCCAAAGATGAGAAATTACTTAATGGGTACAATGTACATCATTCAGGGGATGGACACACTAAAACCCAGACTTCACTACCACAAATATATCCATGTAAGAAAATTGCACTTGAACCCTTTAAATTTATACCAAAAAATACCTTTACATACATCTTATATCCAATCATGTATTTTTTTCTTCAACAACAACAATAATAAAAATAGAATGGTCTCTAAGAATATAATCTAACATATTCCTCTTTTGAAATTATTCTTTCTCGGGTATATTAAGGTACTTCTCAACATTTAGATGATTAGTTTTTAAATACAGTATTTTTTCTAACAAACCTGCAATATAGAGTGTCTTTTCTTGTTATTCAAATAAAACATTTTTGTGCACGTAGCAGTTGCAGCAATTTACAATGTTCCTGATAATATTACCAGCTAAAATGATTAATGAACTAGTTTGGTTTACAGGGGAAAATCCTTATATCATTTCTGCATAAAGTCACTATATAATTTTTTTAACTATACAGTGTTACAAAAATAAAATTGCTGGGCACTGAAATAAAATTAAAATGATATAAACCAAAGATGAACTGCCATAAAAATGATATACCATGTTTCTCTGAATCATACTGAGAATGTTCCATTAAAAGTTTGACAAAAATATCTGCATGGTGACATCTTTAGTACAAGCAGAATGTATAATTAATAGGTTCACATAAATAAATCTCAGTTCAAAAACTCAAGATTATTCCCCAAATGGGATATTCACCCTATAACTTGGTGATATCGTTTCTGTATTTTAATTAGAAAAGAATGGAAAAAAAAAAAACAGTAACACTTCTAGCCAAATGCTTACGCTACTTACTGGCCATTGTAACACATATAACATTTTAGGTTAATACAAGTGAAAGCTAAAAACCCCAGAATAAAGGCATTTCGTATGAAAGACAGACACATTACCTTTTATTTCGTGTTGGCTTGCTTCCCGTCTTCTTTCTAGTTCTTTTCTGTCATAATTCAACCTCTTTAAGCACATAATTCCATACTGTAAACTTGTTCTTTTTTTAATAAAAAAAAAAAAAACCACAGTGAGTTTACCTCAGCAGGTGGAGAAAGTTTTCTGATTAGCCATAGTCAACACTATGCACTGCTTCTTAGGGCAACAAGTTAATAAATTACATTTGCAATCAAATCCTTCAGTATTGGAGGGAAATACATTTATAATTATTCTAAGCACAAAACGTTTCTAAGGAATAGAAAAAAAATGGTTTCAAAATAAGAAAAACCATAGTTTTAAAATCATCATGGATTATATTGTTCATCTATGTGTCTTTGTCTTTCATCCAGCTATTCCTACATTAGGTGCAGGCAAATTAATATTTTATTCATTTGAAAAGAATTTAAAGTCCCCATTATGGAGATAGTAAGGAATTAATAAGAAATGGATACTCTCTTCTTAAGCTGATGAGAAAAATAACACAAAACATGAGTAAGTTAGGTAATAGGATAGAGGACCAAATACTAAAATGAATAGCTCATAACTCTAAGTGATACAGAAGTATGTAAGAAGAACAGGTCAGCAGATATTAAAACTGAATGAAAAGGAAACGTGGAAGGAGCAGAAAATTGATTGATCCTTAAAGGATCAAGTAGCAGAGACAGGTTGACTCAGGAAAATGGAGCATCATGAACCAAAGATTGCAGATGAAAATTTAAAGGTGTGGTTAGTGAGATCACACATTCCAGAGCTGAAAACCCATGCTAGGAAGCAAGGAGGAATACAATTACACATGGAAAATAGGGCATTTGAAGGAAAGCCTTGAATTGTTTTTAAGTATGAAATACATATAATTGATACAGAATTATTGGACAATTTTCAGAGAAGGAAGAGGTGACAGTAAAAGTTTTCTGTTTGGCCAGGCACGGTGGCTCACGGCTGTAATCCCAGCACTTTGGGAGGCTGAAGCGGACGGATCACGAAGTCAGGAGTCTGAGACCAGCCTGGCCTATATGGTGAAACCTCGTCTCTACCAAAAACACAAAAATTAGCAGGGTGTGGTGCCTCACGCCTGTAGTCCCAGTTACTCGGGAGGCTGAGGCAGAAGAATCGCTGGAACCCAGAAGGCAGAGGTTGAAGCGGGCTGAGATCGTGCCACTTCACTCCACTCTGGGCAACACAGTGAGACTCCATCTAATAAATAAATAAATAAATAAATAAACAAACAAATAATAAATAAATAAAATAAGTTTTCTGTTTAAGGAAAAACAATCTCATAGCAAAATAGGAGATGGGAAAATAAGTAATCAGAGGAGACAGAAAAATCAATTCAGGGTTCAGTTCTGCTAAAATAAGGAAAACAGTCATAAACTTGAAAGGAAAATCAATAAACCAGAGATGTTATGAGAGAGAAAATGAGAAGGCTCAGTGACATTAGATATAAAGATGCAGAAGATGTGATAGGAAAAAATAATCTGTAGACTTCAAGAGTAAAGATCATTGATTATCAGTGATACTTTACATGTTTAGGAATATAAGCAAATTTAGACATACACATTGGTCAGGCTACACTTACTTGTTAGATGCATTTCTAAGCCCTGCATTTTAATAAAAACAATATTGAGTCAAATATTTCAGAATCAAAGAAAAATTGAAAGAAAATTTCATTAGGCAAGTGTTGTCGGTTGAATTGTGTTCCCCTAAAATTTACATGTGGAAGCTCGAATTCTCAGTAATTCAGAATGTGATTACATTTGGATACAGTGTCCTTAAAGAGGTAATTGAGTTAAATGAGACCATTAGGGTGGGCCTTAATCCAAACTGACTGCTGACCTTATTAAAAAAACATTTGGACACTTGGGGACAACAGGAATATATATTCACAGAGAAAGGCTTATGTGAGGACACCGAGAGAAGGTGACCATCAGCAAGCCCAGGAGAGAGGCCTCAGAAGAAACCAGACCTGCTGATTCCTTGATCTTGAACTTCTAGCCTCCAAAACTGTGAGAAAATGAATTTCTGTTGTTTATGCCACCCGTCTGTGGTCTTTTGTTGTGGCATCCCTAGCAAACTAATTCAGGGGTATACTAGATAATACTGACATAATCACTATCACAGATATTGGGCAGCTTGAGATTAAACCAAGGCATCTTGGTCAGTTTCTGCCAAGTTTTGATATGGAATATAAAATTATACTATACAGAGGATATATAATATTATGAAAATGTCTGTCAGATGGAAAACTGGGCCCAAAAGACCATGGGATGCAATATACAGTCAGGTACTACTTGCTTTAAGTCAGAGATTAGCATTACTTAAAAATGAAGCTTGGGTATTTCCCAGAACAAACAAAAAGCAAGTCATCTGAGTATTTTTTTTAAAATTTGATCATTATAGAAAACATTTTACTAAAGTAATAAAACAGCATTAAAAGTCAATCTAGTGAAGAATGGAAAAACTGGACCCCAAAAATCTAATGCAACCATATGAAATATGAAGCCCTAAACTGCCCATGACAGGGAGCTCACTCACTACCTCACAATGTATACACTACAAGGCAGCTGAGAGTGGTACAAAGTTGTTTCTTCTAGTAAGTAGAAGTCACTCACCCTAGTATCTACACCTGTGTTAACTAAAAATCACACGCTCAACAGAGAAAATATAATTCTTCTATCACATAATAATGATCTTAAAACATAAGAAAACTTATTTAAAATCTTCCTTCATCCAATTTAAATGTATTTAACTACTTCAACTTTATCATCGGACTTCTACCACCTTACAACAATTTGATGCCCATAAATAAATGCAATTTATTTTTGTTATGTCACCGTATGGTAGCACTTTTGTGGTCCCTGCCAATAAACACAGTCTAAACATGCCTTGTCAAGCCATTAACCAAAATGGAGAGTTTCGTGCTAATGATACATTCCTTATCTTTTTCACACAAGTTTCTGTTAAATTATGGATTCTCCATTCAGCACTTTAATAGGTTTTTAAAAAAACACTGTTATATTTATCTTCACCACATTTAATTCAACAGTGTCAACAACTGCATTAAAATTCAAAATATCTCCATAAGTTGGAATCAAAAGCCCCAATTATCCTCTATTTATCCTAATTTTATGTCATCAACATATCTAATTTTTATGCCATCTTCAGTCACTGATTAAATGTTGGACAGGAGAGAAGCAAATACAGTCTCCCAAGCCAGAATCATCTATGGTTATATTTATTAACTTATCGCCACAATCAACTATATGTGAAAAAAAAACAACCAAAATCCAGTTGACATTGTTTCACCTAACATAAACACAGCATTTATGATACGGTATAACAACAAATCCCTTTTTATCTGCTGGATGGTAAACAACTTGAAAAAAGACATTGCCTGTTGTTCATCTGCATCCACACAGTTATCTAACACAGTATTGCTTTTTTCTGAAATTAATATACAAATAAGCAAACTCACTAAAAGACATAGAAAAATAAAAAGCACAAATACGTCTTAGATGAAGAATTCCTTCTCAAAGTTTTTCCTAGAATGTTACTAAATTATAAAATTTATAACCCCATAATTTTGTAGAGTTGAAACTATGAATATTTGTTTATTCTTTCTAAATAATTTTCTAATAGAAACACATACAACTATAAAATTACAAACATGGGATTTTCAAAGAATCCCACAAAAAATAGACTTATGCTGTATGAGAAGAATTTTGTACACATATATTTCCATGAAGTTCGGGCACATAATATGCACATAGCTCTAAATTAGAAAGTCCCTGAAATTTGCTGGATGAAGATATTTTTCCAAGTAGATGTAAACAAACGATGTTTCAAATGACATATATTTTCTATCTTCTAGACATCCATTTTTGTTTTACTAAAGTATAGGTAATACATTGTTTCATTTTAATTCTTCTTTGGCAAAAAAAAAACAAAAAACAAAAAACAAAAACCTACCGATGGAAACTATCCACCATTTTTAAATGGACACGGAGATCTTTTTTTGTTAGGTGATCTAACATTCTTGCATCTACCAAGCATTCCATAAAGTAACTTCTGTACTGAGGTAACCCCAAGCTGGGAAGCCATTCATTTCCAATCCACTCATGGTTCATATCTCCATAAGCCAGGGTCTGTAGAAAAACCGGACACTAGAATTGTTTTATAGCAGTCAAGTTTCTTAACCAATCAGATGAGATGGTAATTGGAGAATATTACCTATTATTATAACTGATATTTAATTATTATGATATGTGGAAACAAAGCAAAAATAATATTCAGATAGTATTTGATTTGATTTGGTATAAAATGGAACTCTGCATTCATTTATTAAAGCATTTGCCTATTGAAAATGATTGGCTATTTACTTTGTATTCTCAAAAGGAATTACATTTTGCCCAAGTATGTATTTTATTAATAAAGAAAATATTATACAAACTCTGAGCTTTAAGATTTTGTCTTTATATTGATAGGTTTGTTTTATTTGTATCTGTCATTACCCTCTTGTCAATGTCATTATTGCCGTTTCCCTCTTATCAATGCCACTACTGCCATTGCTACATACAGTGTAATGGCAAATGTTGATGTGAAATGGAAACCTCAGTAAACAGATAAAGGAATAAATGGTTTGGAGAGACAGAATTTTGAAGCTTTGTATGGACATTGTTTAGCAAAGCAGGTCATCAGCTTTCCAAAAAATCACTGGAAAAAATCAGCCTTTTCTAGAAATCAATCAAGATACACTCTAAAAGAAGCAGGGTAGGATCAAAAACTAAGACAGATAACCTAATTCTTTAATATAACAAGTAAACTATTCTTACCAATATTGTTCAAAACAGCTAAAATGAAAACCAAAATCAACCATTACCACTAAACCAATATTTTAAAAGAACTATTATTCTCTATTATTTTTACAGAATTCCCACTTAGTTCTTTATCATGCTCTAATTTCTCAATCCTAATATGCATTTCTAGGGAAAATATAACTGCTCCTCTTCTTTTGTGTGTTCTGAACAATGATGAAATTTTTATCAAAATCAAAATCAAATACAATCCTATTGTGTGTTTAAATACAAGTCCTAATATAACTACCAAAATTTTTCTTGTATTGAAAGGTTTCAATCAGATTGAATATAACACAAATTTTCTCTTTTGGTCATCCAAAATGTGGAAATGTAGAAAAAATGCACAGCTTCCTTGCAAAAGCACAGGTCTGTTCCAAGTATAGACACCTGTCTCATATGAACATCTCAATAAATGTTAATGGCTCTGTGGTCTGCAACGCCAACACTTGTACCTCCAACCCCTCTTCATACACTTTCCGTTATATCTGAAGGCATGGGCAACTCCAAATAAGTCTTTTCTTTCTTTTTGTTCCCCCTTTAGATCCAACTTGAATGCTTCCTGATTAAATATATTCAGGAGTGATTTCAGAGGAATTTAAGTTTTGGATCATTTTTTTGAGAAAGAAAGAAAAGCACCCTTTTAAAAGAGGCAAGGAATGAAACGACAATCATCTTATTTTAAAAACATGGTAATTAAAAAGACTATATATAAAGTATTAACGTAATCTAGATTTACCTATACAGATCAGCATAATATTGAGCTAAGTGAAGGTTTACAATATTATGACTTATGACAGTTTCTTAATTTATATTCTCATCACCTACTAAATGATATTAAGGGTCTTAAAGCATATGAATCTCCTACCTGGGCCCAGCTTCCTTCCTCAGATTCTTTCTGTGTTAGCAGCAGGAAATGATTAATAAAGCAGGTAAATATAAATTAATTTCAAATCAATACAGTAAAATTTTTCTAGCAGAAACAAAACTGCTATACAAAATGCTTTGTATAACAGGCAGATACATACACAGATTCTGACTCAGACCCACAGAGATCAGTTTTGCATTTCAAAGGCAATTAGGCAGCAACGACATAGTTTTCAATTAATTCTAATTTAAATGCTAAATTCATAATTTCGTGAACATTTGATTTGGTCATTAGAAACCTTTTTTTAAATTCTTAAATGAGTGTAATTTTCAAAATGTAGTGTGCTATAATAAAAACTTCTGATGACAAATATACATATGTATATATGACAGAGAAATCTTATACAAAGTAAATTAGTGAAGTGAAAAAACTGACTGTATCCCTTCAACAAAGCTTGGAGATAATCAAATAGATTTCAACAACGGCCAACAAAACAAAACAAGACAAAAACCAGGTACAACAAAACTAAACTAAAAATGAAATTAATACATGACATTGGTGTTTTTATCCATAACAAACTTGAAGATAATCAATTTTTCAAAGAAGGATAACACTGAAAAGACATCAAATTAAAAAGCAGCTGATAAAGATAAATTATATGATATGCCCAACTTTGTTACTTTATGTGAAAAAATGACTTTTATAACATCTTATTTTTAAAAGTGACAATTACAAAGTCCCCAAGACATTCTTTAAAATTTTGCTTTTCAATACCAAATTAACATAGCACTTTTTTGGTTTTTGGGGGGTTTTGTTTGATCAAGCTTGTATCTAAGATGGTAAAGCACAAGAAACCACATAATCATATTAAAAATGAATATTCAATCTAATCTTTTCTATTACCAATTTAATTCGGTTTAGAAACCTGTTACCTGTGAATATGTCCGATACTAAATGATATTTGTTACAAAAACTTCCAATGTTGCAACATGAATACTATTTATTATATTCTTGCTTATTGTTTGTGTACTATAAGCTCTTATGATATTAGCCATAATCTAACACTATTTCACTTAAAAAGTTCAAGAGAGTACAGTAAAAGAAAACTGTAAAAAATGTTAGTTATCATTGCATATGACTATAAAAACACACCCTATTACTCTGGTCTATAGTAAACAAATTAGTTTCCTCATCCAAAGAGCAGCAAAGTCACTTTCCTTCAGGTTCAACAAAGCCATTAAGACTAACCGTTTTTGCTGGAGCTGCAAGATTTTCCATTTCTTCATGAGTCACCCAAACGTTGCCTGAAGGCTAGTGAGGAGGCCCAGAGGGAAGCAGAGGAATCCATGGGAGGCAAGCAGTGGTAAAGAAGAAAGGCAGCACCTCTGTGAGTTAACAGCAACACAGCAATACCACAGTGCCCTTGCCCCTACCGTGTGCACAAAAGAGATAGCATGGCTGGTTTGCTCAGAGCTTCCTGTTTCTTCCACTCAAAAAGACTAACTAGAAAGAGGCATACTGTGAAGCTCTTGGGGGGTGTAGATTTAAAATGACATTTCTGCAATTATTAGAAAAAGAGCATCATCAGAATTTGCATTCCAATGGTATGTGGCTATCAGATCAATTTTTGTAATAACGGTGAACTGATTAAATTTGAACTGTAGAATAAAGTAATTTTAACTGTTTACTCAGAAAACAATGGTACATGCACTTTGTTGTGTTATCAAAATTTCCTTCACATAATTTTGATTCTCAATATCCTTCGAAGGAAAAAAAAAATGGTTGTCAATATAAAGCTGGAAACATTATCATAACTTATCTGGAAAGCAGCATCAGCTTTTCCCGAAAGATTCCCTTTAGTGTGTGTGATTGAGTAAATAGCAAGTGTCCCTGTATTCTTGTGGATGAGAAAGAAGTGAAATGCTATTTTTTATTCAATAAAAGGTATTTTTCAGCCACACTAATAAACCCATGTACTTCCTAATTCTTCACCAGTATCCAATACCATTGTAGAGAAGAACATAGTATAAAAGAACTTGTTTTCTCTAGCAGGCAATATTCTATGATAAAGTCCCATTTGCTTTCTAAATAAAACACCCCTTGGCATTAGTTCTATACACTTAATAATTCACAGTTTCGAAACCAAAGTCCACTTAGTAACATACAGATCAGGCATATCATTGAAGGTATTGGCCCCTCGAAACCACTTGCCATCAAATTCCATCATTTCTTTATGAACATTGCAAGGTTTTCCAAGTACATCAATGAAATTTACATCCTATGTATTATCTGCTACTTGTTTCGGGGAAGGTCCAATTTTTAAAGAATTGGTGTAGTAAAGTTGTTACCCAAACATTACAAGTCATCACCATAATTCACTTTGGGTTTTTCTGTCGTTCACCTAGTACCACGACTTTTCCTGTATTAAAAGTAATATAATTTAAAATGTAACTACGTATAAATTGATGAGTACAATTTGATGTAAGTGAAATCTTATATATGTATATGCATACATATATACAGTCATGTACTACATACTAACATTGTAGTCAAGAATGGGGTGCATGCACAACAAATGGTCTCATATGATTATAATGGAGCTGAAAAGTTCCTGTCACCTAGTGATATCAGAGCCATTATACTATTGTAGTGCAATGCATCACTCACATGTTTGTGGCAATGCTAGTGTAAACAAACCTATTGCACTGCCAGTTGTCTAAAAGTATAGCACATGCAATTATGTGCAGCCCATCACCCTTGATAATGATCATTAATGACTGGGTTACTGGTTTATGTATTTACCACACCATACATTTTTAATCATTATTTTACAGTATACTCCCTCTACTTTTGTTTTTTAAAGAGTTAACTGTAAAACAGCCCCAAGTAGGCTCCTCAGGAGGTATCTCAAAAGAAGGCATTGATATCCTAGGAGATGACAGCTCCATGTGTGTTACTGCCCCAATGACTTTTTAGTGGAACAGAATATGGAGATGAAAGACAGTGATACTGATGGTCCCGACCCTGTGTAGGTCTACAGCAATTTGTGTGTGTGTGTGTGTGTGTGTGTGTGTGTGTGTGTGTGTGTGTCTTGGTAATGAAAAAGTTTAAAGAGGGGGAAAAATAATGAAATAGCAGAAAGCTTATAGGACAAGGATATAAAGAAAGAAATTAATTTTGTTCAGCTGTACAATGTGTTTGTGTTTTAAGCTAAGTATTATTTAAAAAGAGTCAAAAGTTAACAAAAAAAGATTTTAAATTACAAACGTCACCGTAAATTAAGGCTAATTTATTACTAAATAAATAAAAACTTTTTTAATGAATTGTATGTAGTATAAAGTATAGTGCTTATAAAGTCTACAGTAGTATATAGTAAATGTCCTAGGCCTTCATATTCACTAAGTGTCCTATTCACATGTACCATTTTTTATCTTTTATACTATATTTTTGCTGTACCTTTCCTATGTTTAGACTATTTGGATACAGAAATTCTTACCACTGTGTTACAATTGCCTACAGTATTCAGCTTAGCATCGTGCTGTACAAGTTTGTATCCAGGAGCAATAAGTTATACCACATAGCCTAGGTGTACAGTAGTCTATACCATTTAAGTTTATGTAAGTATGCTTTGTGGTATTCTCAAAATGAAGAAATTGTCTCATGACTCATTTTTCAGAACATATACCTGGCATTAAGTGACATTTGATTGTATATATACTTAAGTAACAAACGGAATTGAGTGGTAAAGGTTTATAATTATAAGAAAATTCTATGCACATAAAAATTCCACAGGCTAGGCATCAAATTTATGTGTAGAATTTGTTTTCTTCTACTGTTTTGGAATTTAGAGTACAGCTGATGTTTTTTCTATAAGATAAATCTGTGTACACCTATAAATTAAATTTAGAATATAAAAGTCATTTATGTCCTTAAAAGTCCCTTCCTCATATCCCCTGCTTCTAACAATGATGCTCATTATAAAAGGAAAGTTGCACATGAATATATAACATTACATTACTAGGAATAAATTGTTTTTATTGACTTTATGAGGAGTGTGCTATGCTGAAAAGCACTTTTCTGCACGCGTCTGTTACATTCCCTTTACACCCAGTTATCATGGCACTTCGCTTGAGTGGGTGTACGGTTGGTTCAAAGTGAGTTTCAGTGATGATTACCTGAGAAGAAATTCATTTAAGCCAATCTTAAATGGCTTAAGCTTGCAGAACAGTGTAAAATCAATTTTACACTGATTTGTGTAGCTTCTGCTTTGAATCGTAATCCAAATAATGAAGATCTCACTCCTTCTTTAAGAAACTACTGGTATTAATTACCTCATACTAGAATAGATACATGCATAGTACCTTTCACAGGTTATCTTTAAGTCTGTGTCTGCCAGTCTGTCACCATTTCTGGGATGGGGAACATGCTGGAAGCTATGGTTTTGTCTGTTTATTTCCTCACAAAATAAGTATATACCCAGGGCAATTTTCTAAAGTATGGTTGGAAAACTTTCAGAAGCTGTATGTTAATTGTTTCTGTTAGACATGCAGTTTTACTTGTGAAGAGCACTGCCTGCCCTATATAGTCTTGTAAAATAGCCGACAGAAATAGTTTCTACACAACCTAATCAAGTAGACATTAACTGAAGTTTAAACAAGTTCATTTTATAGGGAACTGCATATGTAGTAAGTCAATTATTCAATCAGATTGCTCTCTCTCCACCACCACTTTAGGGGATGGAACTTGCATCTAAGTACATTGTGAGGGAGTAATTTAGAGCATGAGAGTTTCAGAGAAAAGCATCCCTATAAGATAGCTAGACTGGGAAACTTTGAACAACCAAAGGGCATAAAGATATGAGTGCCTTGGGATTCAGGATAAAGAGAGTACAAAAAGTAGATTGGAAAAGCATAAAAAACAAATATTGTATAACTTGGTTGTGGTTCTCTGAGATACCCGTAAAAGTATCTACTCACTGCCCTGGGTAGCCTGTGCTGCAACCTCCCCAAAAAATGTGTGAGCTAGAAAACGCAAACCAATAGTCATTTTTTGTGGCTAATATCATCTGAGTCCAACATGAAATTTATAAAATTTCAATTATATTATCAAATTAGAATCAAGGAGCTTGACTTATACAGTAGAATTTACCAATGACTCCCCTAGGACATTTCCTAAACCTGTCCACATTTCAGGTTCTGCACCTCTTTAGTGGGACTAAAAGTGCATGCTCCATATTAGAAAGAAACACTAAAAAGTTTACATTATGATACAATATGTTTTTATACAGGGCTGGGACTAGGATGAGGCACATGAGGTCCCGGGAGGCTATAATTTAAGGAAACACTCACTTTGAGGGTTGATGTCTGACAATGAGAGCCTCTTTAAATTTTATGCTTGAGATTATCTTGCTTGTCTCCCCTTGGTACCCATGGAATAGAACTTTGAGAAAATATCAAGTGAGAAGGAGAAGGAAATTTCTAAAAAATGGTAAGAATTAAAGCACTTACCTAATTAAATCATTCTGGAAAGAGTTACAATAGAAAAATAAATAATACAATGAATTTAAGAAATACCTCCTGAAAATCAATCAGGTGAAAATAATGAGTAGTCTTGCTGTCAGAGATACAGCATAAGTAAAGCAGCCAGACCTCAGAATAATCTTAAATCTTAACTAGTTAAAGTAACTTCTGTTACTACCTAGGTCATTTAAAGTGTTTTTTACTTTATAATGGAATTACAAAGTAGTTACTTGAAATTAGTTTTCACATTCAAATGGCCTGGATTCACATTTCTCCCCTATATTCTCATTATAAGATAAATCCTTCTCATTATAATAAGAATGGTATTTACACCTCACCCTCTTTTCAATAAAGGTTGAGGTTTACAGACAATTATACCTCATCCTCTTTACAATAAAGGTTGAGGCTTATGAGGTAAGTAATAATGAAAAGAGGAACCACACAGACTAAAAGAATGCTATAAAAAGAAGGAAAACTGATAGAGTGCAGGAAGCAGAAGCAGGAAAATGTGCTTGTTAGGAGCAAACCCACAGAGGAGTATGACCTTAGTTGAGTCAGTTTACTTCTTTACATTGGTTTTGCCCATTTGCGAAACAGCTATAATAAAAGTACCTTTCTCATAGTGTGGTTGTGAGATTTAAATGGGTTATTACATGTAAAGCACTTAGAACAGTGCCTGACAGTGAGCATTTTGCTGACGTTGGCTACTACTGTAATTATATTAGAAATTCTGTCAGGTAATCTCCATTCAAGCAAGTTTTTAATTCAAGAAATACTCTGTAGGTCCCTGTA